GTCACTACTACAGCATAGTGCGACACGCTCTCGCGGTCCAGGGTGCTGTCCAGCACCAGTGAATAGTAATTCTTGAAAGTGGACACCAGCTTGAAGGGGACATGAGGTGTCAGGGTGCATGTCACCTGCCCGTTGGCTCCAGAATCTCTGTCAGACACGTTAATCAAGGTTATGACTGTGCCGGGTTGAGCTTCCTCTGAGATAGCAAGAGACAGGGAAGTGACAGTCAACCGTGGAGCATTGTCATTAGCGTCCACAACTTCCACAAGAACTGTACAGTGACCAGCCAGGGGTGGGAAGCCTTTATCAATCGCCTCTACTTGAATTTTGTAGGCTTTACTTTCTTCAAAATCAATATGTCCAATTGCTATAATTTCTCCACTTACGGGGTCTATGTAGAACTTAGACTTTACATCTGGAGAGATATCACTGGAAAATGAGTAAATAATGTCCCCATTCATGTCTTCGTCTAAATCTGAGGCATTAAGTTTAATTACCAACGTTCCATTAGGAACATTTTCTGGTAATTTCACCGCATAGAGTGTTCTATCGAAAGCTGGGGCATTGTCATTGGCGTCCAGCACTGTGACGAGCAACTGAACGGTGCCAGTCAGCTCAGGTTTGCCTCTGTCAGTGGCTATGAGCAGTAAAAAAATCTCCGGAGTGTCTTCCCTATCTAAAGGTTTCCTTAATACAAGTCCAAGAGGTTTTACCTGTTCATCGGTGGTCGGTACCTCCAGGGAGAAATGCTCATTGGGGCTCAGTCTGTAAGTCAGCAAAGCGTTCTCCCCGATATCTGCATCGGATGCGCCCTCTAGTGGAAACCGAGAGTCAAGCAGCCTGGATTCCGCGATGAACAGATTCTTTTGTGTTCCAGGAAACACAGGCGGGTTGTCGTTAATGTCCTTCACCTCCACATCCACATGGAAAACCTGCAGCGGCCTCTCCACGATCACCTCCANAGGCTCAGTGGTGGTTCCTGTTTTCAAGAAAACAGTAAAGTGCTTTTATTGAGAAATCAGTTATACAGGGAGAAATTTACTTTTTGACGTATATCTTACATGGGGAAAAAAACCTTAATTGTGATTCTAAATAAAATAATTAAAAAACGCATGATTTCCACTTTCAGACACAATTGCTTTCATCTTTGTTATACTTAAGCTTTTCAAATACCCCAATGTACAGTTTTGGAATTATCTAACAGTTTTATCAGTGTCAATAATTTTTCATCACCACCTCCCATAAAAATATTTTTTTCTCTCTCTCTCTCTCTCTCAAAACTCTTGGAATCAAATATTCAATAACTGAAATTTGCCATTAATATATGTATGCTCCTGAAAAATATGAAGTTTCTCTTTTTCCAAAATACGAAAACTTAATAGGACCTTTTGTCTTATCCAAAGGTTAATTTCTTTACTTTAATGATATTGTGATTTATAAAAGATATAGATTTAAGAGACGGAAAATTTTGAACTCTTTTAGTTGTTATTTAGAGCTGCAACATTTATGAAGAAGAAAATTGACAGAAATGAGGGTCACTGGGTTCACTGACTTATGTGTGCTACTAAATTCTGTTTTTATACTTCTCTACTCCTTTAGAATGATTGGGGTCAAAGTCCATTCAAATGTTGATTTTAAGGGTTACTTTTCTTATAAAGCATAAACTAAAATGTAATGAGTTATTTGTCAACTCACAACACCAATGTTCATTTTGAGCTACTATCGCGAATTTTAAGTTTATCAATGATTTATCATCTCAACACAAGGTCATGATATAAACAAAACTTCATTCCTGTTAATGTGCATTTTATACCAGGTAATAACATAATATAACTGTCCTCATGTAAATCTCCAAATAATAAATAAAAAGTAGAGGGTAGCTAAATTACATTCCATTGTATAGTAGGAATTTCCTTTGCCAAGCATCTCCATAGGGCTATTGGATCTAAAACTTCAGTTGGATAAGAATCGCCTGGAGTGTTGTTTTAATATGTAAATTTGTCAGTCCCACTTATTTTAGAAATTCTGAGGTGGAGTCCGGGAACCAGGAGTCAGGTGTTGCTAATGCAGTTAGTATTATCAGATCTAAGAATAGGATGACTATAGACCCCAATTTGCCTGACATTTGCTCTATTAATGCTGTGGTCTTGTATACTTATAGTGCCTGTTTTATTTGCAAAAGTGTCTGAGATTGGTTCATAACTTAGTTAGCCCTATTTAGAAACTACAATTTAGGGACTAGCATACTCATAGAGAGGCTTCATTACTGGTTACATGATTCTGGCTTGAATTGAAGACTGTTATCTACAGAAGGGACAGTTATTAGGCACCATACTTAAGTGTCTTCCATGCTTTCACCTCTCTATTTTGAACTTCCCAGCTTTTTCAATCTTAACCTCCCTGGATCCCAGTGTGCTCATACTTCCTGAAGACCCAAAAGATAAATTAATTACTAAGATATTTACTGATCTTTTGAAAATTTGCATATGATGACAGTCCATATCTGGGAGAGAATAAAAATTAATATAAAAGACTAAATAACCAATTATATCAATATAGCCGTCAATAGTAAAAAATAAAATTTGTAATTATAGAAGACATAGTAAGTACTTAAATAATACTAGCTCTAAGAGATTAAGGGTGGGATTTGGGGGGGAAATGACATTTCTAGCAGTCCTTCATCAATATAACATAATTGAATACCTCAGCCCAAGTTCATGTGGCATATGGAATCTGACCAAAGTGCAAGGACATAGATATTTGCAGGTATAAGTCTGGATTTAAAGTGAGTTGTGCTGACAGACATAGACAGGTTTTATCACAGAAGTTCAGAGAATATTCAAATTTTGAAAGAAATAAAATGAAAAAAAAGATATTGTTTTGTAGCATATACCAAACATGTGTCCTATAGGGTGAAATAAAAAATTACTGAAATATTTTAAGTGAATTTTGCTTACATTTTATGGTTATACTGTGGCTTTATTCTCAAGGCCACTCTGACCTTGTAAAATACCTAACACAATAAAAAATTAAACACCTGAATAGAAATATAAATCACATCACAAAAACTCAACATAAGGACTAAGGAAGTTTATAAAATATAAATTAGAAAGTAAAACAAATGCTTGAACTAAAGATAAGAGTGTGGAGAATCACCAACTTGAAAGTCCCAAATCACAATTCAGGAAATATGTTTCACATCCTTACCTAAACTGGTAGAGGTAATTTTTTTCGGTTCCAGAATATGAATTTCAAGAGAATTCAACGTATAGAATGTAGGCAGCTCTTTAATGCCCAAGCATTGTGTCATTAACAGAAAATGTCAATGAAAAGAAGAAAGTCTTCTTGCAGAAAAAAAGTACATGTCAGCATTTTTTCCAATATCAGATAAAATATTAATTTCAAGAAATTTTCTAAGTGTAAAAAGATTCTACATCAACATTTTCTTATGATCTACATTATCAGGTATATAAAAACATATTTTAAACAAGTTTGAATGAGAGTTATATTTGTAATATTTATTGTCAGAATTGGATTCCTAAAGTTAAACCAAGTGTATTCTGGGGTATACTGGAAGTTAGTCATTGAAGTTACAGACACTGAGTAGTGCTGGCCAATCATGTCTGACAGTCTCCATCCAGAGAAAGGTAGGAAACTACAGAGTTAACAAAGTAACCGTTACTACATATTTCTGCTATGAGGTTTCTTATAAACAATGGAATTACACTAAAATATTATGCACACTTTAGAAGTGAATAAGTGATAACGTGGTGTTGAAGTTTACTTAATGTGTAACAACTAAATCGGTTTTCACCACATGGTTCTCAGGTGAAAGCACCGCGTTAGTAATTCAATATGACGCCCATAAGAAGTTTTAAATAAGTTGATTCGGCACCCAACAAATACCCATTCAATGTATGGTATCATGATTCTCATTTGGAAGTGGAAACACAAAATTAGCTATAAATTTACGATTCACTTTCTGGTAATAAAATGTTAAATTCTGGCCTATCTCTCAGAATACATAGATTAAACTATTTTAATTAAACTCCTATGGGTATATAATTTAATATATACCCATATGGCTAACAAGAATATTTTCAAGACTAAATAAATAAGTATATTAATAAATAAACTATACGAGCAACCCACCTTCCCAGAGGAGTCCAAACAAGCATGCGGATCTCCCGTTCCATCTATAGATCCAGGACCTGGAGGAAGACTGGGGCTGAAGGCCATGAGGTCGGTCTTGGG